TTCCCTATCCTACAGAGTTGCTGCTGTAACATAATACACACCAGATCATGAGATGCTCAGATACTGTGGTGAGAGAGGCCAGACAAGTACCTCAGAAAAACAATGGGTCTCATTCAAGCAGTCCCTGGATCTCTCTCATACATATGTATGTAAACACTTTCAGAAGAAGCCGAGAGAGGCACAGAACCTGATGCCTCAATGACACAGAAATTGCAAGGGGTGCCCTATCTGTGGGGGTTGATCATTTTGTTTCCTTCAGGAGAGGCCTGAAAGTTCTAGGACCTAGTGCGGGGGATGGGGATCTAGCGCAGCGGCTGGGAAGTCAGCCCAGCTGGGCTGACTCCTCGTTTCCTGCCGGATCTTGCGCTGGGGATGGAAAGTCAGCCCAGCCGGACTGACTTCCCATCCCCAGCCTATGGTCGAAATGTTTCGACTTTTGAAATGTTTCAACTAGCCTCAGTTTTTTTCAAGGCTACTTTGACGGCTTTTCTTTCATTCCAATTTTGCTGTTTCAACCTTGAAATTGCTCGAAACACTATCGAAATGAAAAGACCGGTGAAATTCTGCATAGCCCTACTTACTACAGACTCATGCTGGCAGGTCCCTTGGCATTTTGCAGAGGGCTGGGACTGCACTGAGACATTCTTCTTTGCCTCTGCCTAGTCAAGGAATTACCAAAACAAATGTAACTAGAGCCCAAGAATTCAAGGAAAGAAAAAAAATGTTACACTGGGGGAACTTTCAAGTTTCTCGCGACAGTAGCTGTAGAAGCAAGGCCTGCCTTTTAATGCCCTGACCTCAGGCTGCGACAGTAGTGGAGCGTGATCCATGCGGATGGCAGAACTGAAATAATCAATCTCATGGTCTTTCGAGGGTTTGAAAAGCAACTCTGCCCACTGGATGTAATCCAGGCTGGGGTTGAAGATCCGGAAGTTTTCAGTGTTCACATTGGACACATAATATTTCTCCAGATCCTGGAGGGGGAAAGTCAGTTTAGTGAGCGTTTTATCATCCATCCGCAGTATGTTTGCAAATGAAGCTTTATCTGGCAAGCTCTTCCAGGTTGCAGCGCATCTCCGTAGCAGCCAGTTTGCCTCAAAAAATTTCCTTGTCTTCTGCAGGTAGAACATCTCTGCATGCTCTGCTTTGACTCCCACAAGCTCATCAGCCTACAAGTAGCAGAAAAATTACTAATGCACACAATGAGGTAATTAGCCACGTTAGTTTGAACCCAGGCAGGTGGCAGGGTAGAGATACACCTTATAGACTAACTAAATCAACCTCTAAAGCTCCGATACAGTTAGTGTATAACGTGCTTCCTTACCTTGCCTTCTGCCAATCTTTACCAAGTTAGCCCACTATCTTAACCAAAGACAGATTCTTAAAAACTTGCCTGCACATGCAGTTATTTTGGAATAGCTGCCCATGTAGCCACTTTTACTGAAATAATGGCATGTCCACCTGGTTCTGCAGAAGCAGCTGCCGTACTTTCAAATTCTCACCCTACATTAATTCAAATGCAGGATTAATCCTAAAACCTTTCCAGTATAGACAAGCCCCTTGCTCAAGACTGGTGTCTCATGTTCAGAGTTCTTATCAGTGGAAAGCTTCAAAAAAAGAAAAATAAAGAAAAACAAAAGGTCTGCCTGAAGGAAATGACCTATCAATCTCACATGATCAGGGCAGCCTAGTGACTATAGCCAGCAGCCCATGACATGATGCTGCTAGCAGGCCATTCACCTATCATTGACTCCTCAGCCTCCTTTACAGGTGGGTCATGCCACAGGAAGCCACTTTAACTGTTCTGCCATCACCACCCTGAAGGGGTCTGCAATGAGGGTTATAGTTGGGAAGAAGTAGGGCTGGAAGTGACCTCCAGAACGCCTTGTCTAGTCCAACCCCTTGCCTGAGGCAAGATGATCCCTATCCAAGCCTTCCCATGCAACCATAACCCATAGTCTAGATAAGACTACTGTCAACTCTGACACAACACAGACCTAACACCCCAACCTGCCACAGGTAAAGTAAAGGAACTGTGACAACCTGCTTCTATGAAATGCAGTCAATATATGCTCAACAGGTCATGGGCAGAGGGCCATGTACCTCAAGCTCCAGAGAAAGGCAACCCCCCCCCTGCCCAACAGTCTGTATCAATTTGACCATGGGGTAAAATTCCTTCCTGACCCCAAATATAGGGATTGGTCAGACCCTGAGTGAAGGGGCAAGACCCTCTAGCCAGAATCCTCCAACTTTGCTCTTAATAGAATCGGCACACCCCAGTTGAAGCTTTAAAACACCCACCAGACACGTACAACAGAAAATACTTGCCTAATAATAAAAGGGAACCCTACTGGCATGCCAGGCACTGTGCAGCCAGAAAAAGAAAAACCTTGAGTCTGGGGGTGACTACAGTCTAAGCCAGTGGCTCTCACCCTTGTTAGACTTCAGCCTCCCCACTTGGAAAGTGCCAGCTCTTGGCTTCCACTCGTTTTCTTCTCCTTGACCAGGGAAAAACACCAGAGCCGCTCCTCTGGGGCACGGAGCCCGCAGCGGGTCAGAATGTTGCTGACACTGGGGGTTCTTATTTGGAACCTTCGGGTTTAAGCGGTCAATCGCAGGGTGACGCTGCACGGGTGCTGCCGCCCCTGGGAGAGGATCTCAGGTCACCCGGTTGTTAACAGCAGCCTTCAGCTTGCTGACAGGGGTCTGAAGAGGATGGAGCTGGGCTGTTCTCAGCGGTGGCAGATCACAGGACAAGGAGCAATCGGTTCAAGTTGCAGCAAGGGAGGGTTAGGGTGGATACTAGAAAGAACGTCCTCACTAGGAATGTGGTGAAACACTGGAAGAGGCTACCTAGAGAGCTGGTGGGATCTCCATCCTTGGAGGCTCTTAAGACCTGGGCAGACAACGCCCTGTTAGGGATGATATAGCTGTGTCAGGTTTGACCTAAAAACCACTATACAAAGCCCAAACAAAAGTCTCTGTTATATAACTAATGCCCATCTGCAATGATAAGGAGGAGACAGTCTTAGATAAAGGAGGCTTGAAAACAAAAGCAGAATCGGAGGACTAGGGCAAAGAGCTAATTTAAATACTAAAAATCACGCCCCTAGGTGGGGAGAAAGTATGCTAATAAAACATACATATATGTAAATGAGATACATAGCTAAAACACAGGTATAGAGACCTGCTCAGTAAAGAACTCCTTGCGTCACTCCTTTATAACCAATTA